TCACTGGCGGTTTCGTTGATGGTTAGGTGAAATGGGAGCTACTGTGACAAAACATTTCCCAATATCTATGTTAATAAACATGGGCAAGCGTGTACACATACGAGTACACAGATGCGAGCCAATATACAAGCACAGAAAAAACGCACACTTTCATCTCCGATTTGAAAACGAATAATTACATATAATAAATCCGATGTAGGAAATATTGAAGTCCCATTAAGATGCCTTTATGCAATAAAACGCAATAACAATACTTACGTAACAGTAATATAATTTGCTTTCAGGAAGTTGTATTGTCAACTGTGAGACAATCAATACAATTCACATCCTGCACTCGTCAATTTAATAAGCTATTTAATTTTCTCTATACATTGTTAACATCAATCAGAACTTAACGAGTCTTGTAAGCATTTCTGATGATTTCTTATCGGCGTGGTTTTATAAATGGCAACCTAACCGGTTGTCCTATATCAATGTGACTATTATTTCTGTAATACTGATGAAATTGTATTGTTGCAGCAATGCCGGACAAAAGCTATTTTCACTTGGAAATATATTGGTATATGCATTTCCAAATAAAATTGTCGTCATTACTGCTTGACATCAGGCTGCCGGAGGCGGATATCCAATTTGGAACGTCTGATATGAAGTTCATAGCTCTGACCACTAATTCACGGGCGAGCCCTAGCTATTAAATAAGCTAAAAAAGGAAAAAATAATCCTATAATAAAAATGTATTTTCGATTACAAATCCTATACACTCCGTGAAGTGAAAGTAAAAAAGACAATTGTAAAATGCCACATAAATTTTATAATATTAATATTTCGACCCACAATCAGTTTAAGTCAAAGTATCCCAATATTGAATTGTAACATTTTAACATCTCCTAAATATTAACTGACATATCTGCATTATGTGTCCAAATATTTCCCAAAGTTTATAATTTTTTTAATCATTGGATAACAATTAGAATTCGTTTAATGAATAGCTCTTGGCCACAATAAGTTGTTACTACTAAAAATACAACATAATAAAAATCACTCGTGTTCTGTGAAATTCCGGAAAGTAACGGATCATTATAGGTCGTTACAAGATACGTCATTTTCGTAAAAAGTTATTCGGCGATCTTGGCTATTGCCTTTCGCGGAAGATTTGAGTCAAGCAAGAGTTATTTTATTGACGTTCGGAAGATTGATATTCTGTAAACTGCTGCAGGGTGTCCGGGTTTTCAGCTGACCTTCAGAACGAAGGAACTTCCAAGGTCGAAGACGAATATGGGGCACCGTGTATCAAAATTGATCTATCTATATTACGATTTTTTTTTTTGTATATTTTCAATTACAATCTGTCATATTAGGATATTAGGTAATTGGTTTGACGTTGTTATACAGATTTTTGAATGGACGGCAACGCAGTAGTTGTCCAATCCAATTGAGACTAATTAACTAAACTTAAAGTAATAAAGTAACTAAACCTAAAGTATTTGTTGACATTTTATGATTTTATATCTATAATGTCATGAGGAATTTTGAATTTTGATGATGTTTTGCCGCCCTTGGATTGGAAGGCAACCAAGTAGTTGTCCTTTCCTAGTTGTGGCATTTATGGCATTTATGGCATATACTTAACACTATTTTGTATGCGGCAGTGCTCTCTTAAAATTATATTTGAGATTTACAACCTCAAGTGTAAATTTGTTATCATGCTGCCTGATATCGAGCTGACCGAAGATGTGTTTGAACCCGGAAACGAGGGATTACTAGACCACGTTTTTCTCTTCTCTACGGTGGGGTTTTTGATCAAATAAAAATATTATTGTCCTATAGTTTGCAAAGCAATATTCACTTATTACTTATGTTAATATTATTACCTAATTAACTTCCCATAGGGATTTTGCGAACACGATCAACCGATTTGAATAATTCAGAAAACATATTCCTACTGATAAGGAGACGTGCTGATTAGTTTTTGTCAAAGGCAGGTCTAGCCGTTCCCGAGATACGGGGCAAAAAGTGCCAAACATAATATTTCAGTTTTTGAGATAACGGAGCGTCCGATTTAAATAATTCAAAAAACATTTTACTTGTATTAACGAAATGAACAACTGGTGAAATTTTTGTAAAAGCTGGTCTAGCGTCTCAGGAGATCCAATGAAAAAAAGTAAAAAATAATGCCATTTGGCGGTCAAAAATGATCATTAGATATATGTACATCGTATTATCAAATTTTTGCAAAGTTTTTTTTTTAAATTTACTTTTTGGTACGGGATGTTCCAGCAATTTGCCTAATTTTTTATTTTTTATTTGAATTTTCCAATTTGTTAAAACCATTGTCAGAAAATGTTTATATTCAAACATTATCTTACAATGGTTTTAACAAACTGGAAAATTTAAATATGCTTAATGAAATATATAAAAAATGAAGTATTTATTGGTAGGAAATTAATGTTATTCTATATAGGTCAGCCTACTCCCCAGACTGATCCGAAGTCCCTCCTGATCATAAAAAACCAAAAATCAAAATAAATTCAAAACAACCAGTATATTAGATAAAGCTCTCATGACGATGATGAATATAAAAATTTGAAATATGCATATCAATTTAAACAGCTTGGAAGCCATGATCTGATTTATATGACAACTTCGCGAAACCAAATTAAAAATTATCTCAGCTGAGAAACTCGTCTCCGGGCAGAAAACGCATCGTATTTATTTAATAAACATACGTATATGTAAAGTAATATATATATATATATATATATATATATATATATATATGTGTGTATGTGTGTGTATATCGGATTTTATTTGCTCCTTTCTATCGATAATATCAAATCAGTAAATTCTAGAAACGAGTTTTCATATTGTGTTTTTTATTCTTATTCTATTTGTACGGATACATCCCAGATGTAGATTTGGTTTATATTCAGTAAAGAATATAAAATTATACAATCCTATTCCTTATATGTAGGAAAACTTTTTTCAAAGGGTGTATGTGCACGAGTAAACGTACATATGACAAAACAAATATACATAGAAAGATATACAGATAAAGTATATTATATATATATATATATATATATATATATATATATATATGTATTCGAATGTGTGTTTTCATTTACATGAGACGTACGCTGTACCATTCATCGCAGGTATGGTATACTGACACAATAACCCAAATTACAATTGTAAGCCGAACAGTTCACATATGCGAACGATTTATATGCAAAACGAAAGAAGGTACACCACTTATGTCATCTGTATTGGCGTTTTCACCAGCCAATAATTGATTTTATTATTTATAGATTTCACAATATCAGTTCTGTGATATTTATTTAAATACTAACCGGATAATGGATATTAAACATATGAACACGACATTCTACTTGCAGTCTACGAGCAGTTTTGCGATGATTTTTTGAAAGTATGTTAAAGCCTGATCATTTTTTTAATAGATTGCGATAATGTGATTGCGATTATGAACTTGTAGTTATTTATACTCAGCTATATTCTTCTATATATATGATTTACAATATAATACATTTATGGGTTTTAGGAGTTGTTACCTTTTCCAACTAATAATTGGTAAATCCAATAATTCAAGTTATTTTCATCTCTTTGTATAAATAAAACCACACGAGTTGATTTGTGATAGAAACGTTTAAAGATATTGTTATGATTTATCAACAGCCCGCAGAGCAAGTTATTGAATTTTCAATAAAACATGTTTTTGCATTTCATGACTTTAATATACTTCAGAAACTATAGGTATGCGTGTAGAGTTTGCATAGATTTACATATGTATGAATGTTAGGTTTTTCCATGCTTTGGGGAAAACTATTTTTGAGAGAGAATCGATATCGATGGTTTAAAAAGCATTCAATTCGTAATGGCAATGTGCAGAGCCTTTTCTGATAAATGACGAAATGAGTTGCTTCGGACGAAAGTACTTAAAGGGGCCCTCGATGAGCAAAAAATGAGCATTCGACACAAGTGTATCAAACTATCAATATTTGTTTTAAAAGCTTCTTTTATAGATATGTTATGAAGAAATTTTGTCATTAAACTTTAGATTCCGTACCAATATATACCTAAGCATTATCGAAACACTCCACTAAGATTCTCAAGTCTTATTACATTCCGAGGGTCGGAGTAGAAAGTGTTTATAAAACTAATTGTGAGAAAAATATCAATACTTTTATAAACTTACCGTAGGGTAAGTTATTATAATCTTCCAAAAATTGAAATTGAAAATTTTTGCATATTTTCACGCGTTGAACATTTGTCACACCCTAGAAAAAAATGGATGTGTGTGTGTGTTTTCTATGTATGGATACAATTTTTTGTCCACGTTTTCGGGCGCACGGATCAAGCGATTTGATTGATTCAAAAAACATTAGATTCCTATTAATAATGTGGTGTATGATTAGTTTTTGGCAAAAACGGGTGTAATCGGTTCGAAGTGACAAGAAGTGCTAAAAATGGTAGTTCAGTTTTGGAGAGAACGGATCGTCCGATTTTAATAATTCAGAAAACATTTTATTTGTATTGACAAAATGAAGAACTGATTAAAGGGGAAGGCGGGTCTAACGGTTATGGAGACCTAGTGAAAAAAGTAAAAAAAAATGCCACTTGGCGGTTAAAAATGAACATTATGCACATCAAGTTTTCCGATATTTCATAGAAATTTTAATAATAAGTATGAATTTTATTTACATTTCTATGAGTTTTCTATGGGTTGGACTGCGACACGTCACTTACGCGCTTCGATATTTTGTCTCTAAAACTGCTATGTAGCGCGATTGCTTTGAAAAAGAAGTTCAAAAATGAAAATTTTCAAAAAAGTAATTTTTTTTTCAAAAACTCCCAAAATATAATTTTATCGAAGTTTTTTTAAAAAAAATAATAGTTTTTTCAAAAATTTTTGGTACGGAAAGTTTCAGCAACTTGCCTGAAAGCACGATGCCTTGCATAACTAGTTTACTGGTAATACTTACTCTGCACGATGTCTATAAAGCTCACTCTCTAAAGGCGGGGCTGATGTGCCAGGGCTCCATATACAGGCACTTTAAGAATCAAGGTCTGAAATAAATAAAATTGTTATTATAATATCAACTATTTATTTAAAAACAGTATCACATTTTAAAATATTCAAAATTTTGTCCGCCACCAGCGTTTTTAAAAAACAGTTTTGTCATCGTGAGATGCTTGAGCTCTTGATCAAATAGCGCAAATCATATAGAAAGTGTGAATCGACAGTGCGTCATCACAAGTTAATACTTATTCATAAAAAAATAACAAAAAACATCATATAAATGTTTTTTGTGTAAAATAAAATAAAAATATCACCAAGGTATGACTACTTTTTTTTTTTTTTATATATAAAAATGGAGTTCGATACTATGTTAGGAATGCTAAAACCCTAAAACGGCTGAACCGATTAGGCCAGTTTTTGTCTTGAAATATTCGTGCTAATCTAAAGATTGTGCAAAAAGGTGAGCAATTATTTCAACACAGAGTAGAAACTATACATTCTTAATTAACTTACCGTAGGGTAAGTTATAGTAATCGCAAAAAAATCGAAAATGAAAATTTTTGCATTTCTCGACGTTTCAAAGGTTTCTGAATATTTTGGCATACCTTAGAAAAAATGGATGTATGTGTGTGTGTGTGTGTGTGTGTGTGTGTGTGTGTGTGTGTGTGTGTGTATGTATGTGCGGATACAAATTTTCGTCGACGATTTCGGGAACACCGATCAACCGATTTGATTAATTCAAAAAACATTCGATTCGTATTGATAAGGAGACGTGCTGATTAGTTTTTGGCGAAGTCAGGTCTAGCCGTTCCGAAGATACGGGGCAAAAAGTGCCGAAAACGGTAACTCAGTTTTTAAGAGAACGGAGCGTCCGATTTTAATAATTCAAAAAACGTTTTACTTGTATTGACAAGGTGAAATACCGATCAAATTTTCATAAAGGCAGGTCTAGCGGTTTCGGAGATCTAATGAAAAAAGTAAAAAAAAATGCCATTTGGCGGTCAAAATGATCATTAGACATATGCACATCAAATTATCAGATATTTTATAGAGATTTTAACAATAAGTATAATTTTGGTTTACATTCCTATGGGTTCCGTACCAATGTTTACGCGTTAGACGTCGACGCGCAGCTTACGCGGTTTGATATTTCGTCTTTATGCAGTTAAAGCAGTACGATTGCTTTGAAAAAAAGTTTAGATCTTTCAAAATATGTCAAAATAAAGAAAACATTTTTTTTTCAAAAAAAAAAATTAAAAAAAAAAAATTTAAAAAATTTTTTTTTTCAAAAAAAAGTAATTTTTTGTCTAATTGTTTGTCAAAAATCTTATTTTTTTGAAGTAAATTTTTTTCAAAAATGCTAATCGTTTTTAAAAAAATAATTTTTGGTACGGGAAGTTCCAGCAATTTGCCTTAAGGCACGATGCCTTAATTGCCTTAAGACAGAATTCCACTTACAGCTAGTTTGATTTTTTTTTAGTAAGCGTTATTTAATGAAATAACGAACGGCGACACATACTTGACATATGTCAAATGCTTGTGACAGTTCACTTAAATTTAATAGGTTGTTTTAGATTAATATTATTTGATTGTAATAAGTAGTTTTATTCATACACAAAATCATTAATAAACCAATCGCAAGTTTTATTAGAAACTAAATATTAACTTTACTGAAATGTTAATATAAAAATACACTTTTTGGCTTTATAGCACTCTTTTTTGCAAACCATATCTTTTTCAAACTCTGTTTTATGAAAGAACTCATTTGTATAATTTTACATTCATTTTGTATTTATAGAGCATTCTCTAGATTATATTATTATATTTAGGATCTTTAAATTACGATCCTAAATTTGCAATCAATAGAAAGGGAAATTTTGTCGTATAATTTATTTCGAGTTATAACAGACAACAATTCAAGTAAGAACATTCGACTGATAACACAAAAAATAACTTCGGATCACACGACTGTAAAAATGTCAATACACAAAATTACAAGATCTTCAGGAATGAAGTATTATATTTTGAAAATTGGTTATAAAACTTGCATTATATCAAATGTACGAATAATTCCAGCATTAGAATGAGTTTAGAAGGAAAATGATTCACTACGTTTATATTTTTAATCCTTCACAAATGTTCTACAATTTTGAAGGAATTTCTCTTAAACTATATGTCAGAACCTATGCATTTTATAGTCAGACATCGTACATGTTTCATAGAATTACTCTACAAATTGAAGATTACATTTCAGCTCTGAAAGTTTGTATTAGAATAAACCATGTGATACTGCAATGTAGAATATAATTCAATAATGGTTATTTTCCACTAATTTTGAAGAATGAAATGGCAAAATTTGAAAGCATCTAATTGTTTTAAATTGATCCTCTTAATCACTCATTATCCATACTTCCTAATAACATTATGCAATTTGTAGCAAGCAAAATGAAAATGTGCAAACTGAAATGTGCTAGCTACGCATATAAAATGTAAACTGATCCATAAAATTTCTTAAAAATACCTGAAATCATTACGATTACTAAACCAAAGAATACTTTCTGGAGTGACGTCATAGACTAATCAGTGTGATATCAATTTTTTAAAAAAAATCGTAGAAATATTTACAGAACATGTTTATATACGTTTCAAAATGGCATGTGTGTCATCAGTCAGCAAAATGTTTTTAATTTAATAATCAGAATCTAATAGAACTTTTACAAAGTTTAAGAAGATTAAATTTAAAATATATTATAGATTAAAAGAAATTAAACAAGTAAAAAATGGATACATACAACACCAGGACATATTTTCCTGGAGAATAAAGAAAAATTCAATATATTAATCTCTGATTGAAATTGTTTATAATACCAACAATATGATGAAAGTATTTTTTACGGGCACATGTATACAGATGTTACAGTTAAAAACTCATTCGGAAACTGGGATCATATAAAAATACTGCCAATCTCCGAGTAGGTGTAAATGTGTACATGATTACCACTATTTCTAGGCAATAAGTTGTTGCCATAAAAATAAATTTGAAGTCACTGAATATATTATTTTCAAAAAAGTTTCCTAAATTGGAACATTCGATAACAGTGCTTAAAGGCTTATAACGATTAATACAAACATTTGGTCAGGTTGTTAAACTGTAATTAAAATGATCGTGATATCCAATTCTTATTAGAAAGTGGAATAATTATGTTAATTATACGATGTGGACTTATTTACTAATCAAGTGTAGAGCGTAGTGTCGAGTATATTGATTTAGTGTAGTTTTCCAATATTGCATTCAATTACATGTTGATAGGAACACTTACGATTGTTTCGTTTCGAATGTAACGGGTGGATTTCGATTGCGGACACTCGTGCAATTCACTGACTGAATTAGTTAAGTTAATAAATTAAATAAAGTTAAATTGAATATTTCTGAATCACACTGCTTAAATCAATAACATTTTACTTAGTACTTTAACTTATTTCATGATCTCATATTGCAATTTATAGCTAGTTAAAAGTTGCATTTAGCCTTAAGGCAAGTTGCATGAACTTCCCGAAATGTGTAAGTATTGACTTAATCGAATTTAAAATTCAGATATTTAGATAAAATTTTCAACTGTTTATTCAAAATTTGAAAAAATTTTAAGTATCAAAATTTAAAATTAAATTTCAAAATTTTAAAAATTTCTAAATAATCAAAAAAGAAATCAAGTTTAAAAAAAATGAACAAGTTTCTTATCAACATACAAACAGTTGTTTGTAGTTGTTTGTAAAAAGTACTTATTAGTTTACAGTAAGTATATATAATAATCTATTTGAAATTATTCAAAACAATTATAGATTATTTTCATTTCTCGAATTTAGTTTAATCACGTTACGTGTAGTACAGTACCAGCAATTTGTCTTAAGGAACGATGCCATGCACCCCACTAGTTTGTGAATATAACAACTGAAGTAAGTAAAAATATAACTAGTAAATTTTTCATTAATAATACCGGAATTAATACCGAGATCCCAGCATATCGAATTTCAATTATCGAATAATGATACCGAGATTTTTGTATGCTACCAGAAGGCCTGCCCGTAATAAACTAAAATAAAAATGTATTTATATCTTCGCATTTTAGGGGTTTCTGAACATTTTGGATACCTTAGAAAAATGGATGTATGTGTTTGTATGTTTATTTTTGTGTACATTCCAGACTGGTATTTTGTCTGGGTATGTCGGACTCGATACCGCCTGGGTATAATACCGACTAAAACCTTCGCTTTGCCCTTGCCTCTGGTCGCCACAGAAATTGCCGTTAGGCATAACTTCGTGGGAGGAGGATCTAGAATGTTATCATTCTTGGACTGATTTTACACTTATCTTTTAAATAAGCGAAGTCTAAATCATCTCGTAGAGCACTAAATCGGGTCTTCGATTTTGCCCGATCAATATGGGCAATCCGGCGAGCTATCGTGCTTAACACAGCAACAAAAATTGTGAGACTTAACCTAGCTAGGAGGTCCTTCTTTTCCTATGCTATGACACTCTTTACGGAGAAAGCTGATTTCTTCATTCCACCAGTGCACAGATTGTTTTCAGTATGTTTGTATGTGTAAGCGCGTGTGTAGTATGTATGCATGTATGGATACAATATTTCGTTGACGTTTTCATGAGCACCAATCGACCGATTTGAATTATTCAAAAAAAAAAAAATCGATTCCTATTGATGGGGAGACGTGCTCATTAGTTTTAGGGAAAGACAGGTCCAGCCATTTCAAAAATGTAGAACAAAATGTACAAAAGAATAAAATTAAGATTTTAGAAGAACGGAGCATCCTATTAGATTTATTCTAACGATATTCGATTTGTATTGATGGCGAAACATGCAGATTAGTTTGAGCAACAAGTGCAAAAAATTGTTGTTTATTAGAGAAAGGAGTATCCGATTCTAATGATTCGAACAACATATTACTTGTATGGACAGATTGAAAAATTGATTACATTTTTGCGAAGGCAGGTCGAACAGCAGTTAGCTGAGGTACAGAAAAATAAGCTAAAATATTTATATTTGGTGGTCTGAAATGATCATTGTATAAATATACATTATAATTGATTCATATACATATAAAACTATTAAAACTCAGATAGCAGGTAGCCAGGTAACAAGTGAACAGGTAGACAGATAGACAAATGGAAGCTGGACAAACAGCTGAATAAGTGCACAGGTACAGTAGTGGACAGGTAAACAACTAAACAGGTAAACCGACAAAAGTAGACAAGTTGACACTTAAAAAGACAGTCACTTCAACAAGTAGAGATTTAAACAAACAGTTAGGCAAGTTAATCATATACAAATCAAATTATAATTGATTAAAACGATTATTTAGACATATCGTTGCCTTAGAGCAAAATGCCTCCTACACCTAATTAATCTTGTTTTATACATAGTTGATTTTTTAACGATTTTTATGAAATATTTCATGAGTTAATCGTTAATGGTTTTAACGAACGTTTTAAAATATTATGAGCTTACAAGAAGTAGTTTAATTATAAAAATTCATACAACTTCAAGTTATCATCAGCAACTAACATCACAATTTTAAGCTGCTGCATTTCAATTAAAATATGGTTCATAATACTGAAGCTATATCGTAAATGTTGGTCAAAAATGTAACTTTTCAATATTAACTATTAAAAAAACTTCAATTACTAATTCTAATCTTATACTAGAATCTACACTAAACTTAGGATTTCGTATCAGTATTCGTATTATACGATATGAAATTAAAAAAAAAATCACTCAAACAGAATTTATATTCAAAATATTATATTATAAAAGTATTTGAGATAAAGAAAGAAAGCAAATTACTATTTTCCACATTGCTCTATTCAATCTATGAATTAAGATTGATTAAAAAAAATATTCGATATTATAGATTAAAACAGTGTGATTTCTTTCTTTCACAAAATTAATTTATTTTTTAAGCTGTCAATAATGTCAAACATTCAATATGAATTATTCCGACTAATGTCCTCTAGTATTTTGCTAATTTAAAAACGTCCGTATTTGCTATAAATATAATAAGAGGAAGATCTTATGCTTATAACTTTTTAGAATAATTTTCTTGTTTCAATTATCATTTTTTGATTTAGTAAGCGTTAATTGTAAAAAAGTGCACAATTACTCGTATTGGTATCACAAATTATAAATTGAAATTTCTATGCTAAAAATATTGCATTGCATATGTCGTCAAATTCGAAAAAAACAACAATGACATAATTAATGTAGTGAATCGAGTTTGTCATGAAAACAAAAAAAAAACGAAAATGAAAAGTATTTTTTCATAACCTTTATGATTTTTACGGTTTTTTTTCAATTTTATTCAAAATTTATATCGGACAAAATGTTTGATCAAGGTAATATATTATAGACACACATGCATATATATGTTAAATACATATATTATATAAATTAAATTTTATCAACAAAAAACTTGACGTTTTTTATTCGAATCTTGAAATGCAATACGTTGAATGTGAACACGGAAGCTTTATTGTTCGAAAATTATAATTATAAATGATCAAATACATATTTATGTATTATATAAAAAACAATGTTTAGTTTATCGTGTTATTTCAGAACGCTTGATCATTTATGTAAAAAGGCGATGAACGTGTCACGAGCAGAACATCAATCTGAACAGCAAATGTCCAGGACAAAACCAGACGGTAAGTGTTTCATTCCCAATATTTTGTTCGTGTTTCAAAATAATATTATTAGTTATTGATTTTAATCATTTAAAGGGGCTTTTGTGGGACTTCTTACGTCTACGAATTCACATTCACGTTATTTCGAAATTGATTTAACAAAACAGTTATTGGCATAATAAATTATTTTCGATTGCTAAAAATGTTTCACTTACGTATAAAAAAAATCGACAAGTATGACTTTTATTAAAAATAAATTTTTACTAAAGGTATACGGCATCGTGCCTTAAGGCGAATTGCTGGATCTTTCCGTACCAAAATATTCGAAGAATATTATATGTTTTTATATAAATAATATTATAATTGATTTTTCAAGTATATAAGTGAGCTTCAGAATTTTAGCTATAATTAAAATTGTAATCCGAATTATTTTTGTTATTAAAAAAATGGTAACAAAAAAATAATTTTGTTTGCTTTCCCCAAAAACATCGTATTTTCAATACAAGCAATAGGTTTTTTGAATCAAATGGGAAACTTCGTTCTCTCAAAAACTTAATTTCTATTTTCTGCACTCTTTGCTCGGTGTCATCGAAATGGCTGGACCTGTCTTTGCCAAAAACTAATCCACGTGCGTTCGAAACGTGGGTAAAAAATTGTATCCACACAAAACAGACAAATCCATTTTTTCTGAGGTATGTCAAAATGTTCAGAAACCTCTAAAACGTGAAGATATGCAAAAATTTTCAGAATTGAAATATTCAGGTTCATCGAATTATTCACTTATATGTATGAACGTTTCTAATTCTTACTTTAGTAAACCTATAAATCGAATTACTTTCGTCGAATCAGAAAGTATTCGGAAAAAGACAACTGAATATTTTTACAATTGGCCCATATTTGGGTAACAGCAAAGTTCCTGAGTAATATAAAACTTATAATTACATATGGCGTAACTAATACAAGATAATTTTTGATTAGTATTTCTTATTAGATACATATTAAATAAAAAGTCAAGAAGAAACAAGTAGTAATTTATTTTGGGTCGAAGTCATTTCGAGATACTTTTTTGCTGACAGCTTGTTTTCTCTCGTTGAAAAAAAAAATTTTGAGAAAAGCAATGTTTTTGTACTTTGATTCAAAATTCGATGAAGTATACGGTAAAAAATCGATCGTTTTGAACAATATTTTATTCTAGTTTGAAGCATTTATTTAGCAAATTACTATATTTAAATAAAATTTAGAATTATCTGAATATATCTTGAGTATTTAAATTCTAATATACTTTGCAGATGAGACTACAAAATAGCAAAATATAATAGTTTAGGGGTCGTTATAATCGTATACTGGCGGCAAAATTTCGACCAATGTGTCCATGTGCTTCATCAGAGTTCATAGGAGCTGCACATATATAAGGGAAGCATATGATGAGTGCTGATTCTCACAGCTCAAGGAGCACGAGTATCGATAAGCATCGACTGAGCGTATTGTGACCAAAAACGGTATATTGACCAAGCTCACAGTTCAAGAAGCCAGCAGTAGCAGCATTGTAGAAGATTTCAGGGCAGATCAACATAAAATATCAGTGACAGAAAGTAATAAAGTAAATAATAATGTAATTGTATGACATAACATTATTACTTCTGACTACAAATCAATTTTGAATTTAAATCAGATGCCGCGGATCTACGGTACGTGTGGGTGTGCGGCGGCTTCGTAGCACCGTAGCACTACTACGCCACAGCCGCTTTTTTAGCATTATAACGCCGCACGACCGTCGAAAGCAAAAGATAAGAGGTATAGAGGTAAGAGGTTCACTAAATCGCACCTTACTCGTATAATTAGTTAAATCAAATGTATTGACAACCAAAACGTTGCTCTCAATTCCAGGATTATATTATTCACGTTTCCACTCTCTGAGCTGATTTATTGAGATTTCATGAGAATTTTCTAAAAGCATTACTATGACCTTTTTCTAAATGTCATATTACTCCATTATTCTAAAGGAACAGAAACTTTCTATCTAACAATGCTCTAAAATAGTTTATTTTTATTTGAACAACATCACATTTTAGGAACTTTTAAAGAAAATCCACTCGATCCACTCTTCTTCTTAAATATGGCTGTGAATTTGAGATGATTTTAGTAATATCATTCTTTAAATTGTATTTTTTTAAATTAGTTATTAACACTAACTCATTTGTTAAGTTGAATTTATTCTGTGTAATCAAAATTAATATTAGCAGATCATATATTAGCATGAATCTTGATCATTTACTTTCATTGAAACACTGTTGTCAATAATTCGTTCAACTATTTTCAACAGGATGAAGAAGTACAACATTATCGCCAGACTCAATATTGCTAATTGCCAGATTCTAGACTGTGAGCTTGATCAATATACGGTTTTCGTTCCCATGCGAATATTCGTAGCAATATGCGTGCACGTGGAACTTTGTGAATGTGCACTTCGTCATGTCCATTCTTTTGTATGACAATGCACACTGTTAATTTTTGATGGAGGTATCAATTATTTGATATTTTCGTCGTAGCTTTCTGTGTCTGCTAATGAACGAGAAGAAATACTCCATTTGCAAAATGTTAATTTCATTCTCGAGAAGATTTAAGCAACTCCATTCACGTAATGGAGATGCTTAGTGCAAAGTACAGTGCATATTATGAAAAGAAGGCCCAAGACCAAGATATCATAATTAAGAAAACTTTAATTTGTATTTTCAATTAGATAATTAAATAAATATACTGTTTCGAATGTCCAATAATAGTTTAAAAATATTTACTCTTGTGAAAACCTAATTTTCATAATAAAGTTAATATTTTCGAACAAGAGAAACCATAACATTAACGATAGTTTCGACTCAAATTTAAATCTGATTGATGAAATTTGGTTGATTCTGAGCTTAATCTATTTGATTTACTTTACCCCAAAAACATCCGTATCTCAATTTGCGTCATTTTGTAGTCTGATAACAATCGTATATTATATACAGATAGTTATGGTTTACATTAGATGTAAAATGTAACATAGAAGTTTATATTTTTTTTACTGACAGGTTTTCTGTATCTATCTACTTTTATTTTCCAAAATAAATAATAAGCACTCCTATCAATATTATTAACTTCACGTAGGGTAAGTTATAGTAATCGCAAAAAATCTAAAATGAAGATTTTTATATATCTTTACGCTTCAAAGGTTTCTAAATATTTTGGCATACCTTATAATTAGAAAAAATGGATGCATGTGTGTGTGTGTGCGCGTGTGCGTGCGGATACAAATTTTCGTCGACGAAAAAATATTCGATTCGTATTGATAAGCAGACATGCTGATTAGTTTTTGGCATAGGCAGGTCTAACCGTTTTGAAGATACGGGGCAAAAAGAAATAAAAATAGTAATTCAGTTTTTGAGAAGCGTCCGATTTAAATAATTCAAAAAACATTTTATTTATATTGACTAAACAAAGAACTGTTAATATTTTAGGACAGCAGTTATGGACTCTCAATAAAAAGTTAATATTATTTGGCGGTTAAAAATATTCATAAGACATATGCACATCAAATTATTAGATATTTTATAAAGATTTTAATAATGTGTACCGTTTTGATGTCAATTTTTTTGGGTACAGTACTAAGATTTTCAATTTTAAAATCTACGTATATGGATTAAACAAATGTCCTCGATGATCGAGTATGGAATAACCGATTTGTAGAATTGAAAAGTTATTCGGTTCATACTCGATCACGAGGCGTATTTGCAAAACGCAGTTTTGCCGTTGCGGAGGTATGGAGCGCAAAGGGTGTAAAAACGGTTATGCAGTTTTTGAGAGAACGGAACATCCAATCAAATTAAATCAAACAACATTTTACTTGAGTGGAAGCAAAAAAAATGCTTTTACAGAGAATTTCGTAATTTTAGTAATTAAAAAAAGTTCGAAATTTCCAAAAAATTTAAAGTTTCTAAAAACTCAAACTCTAAAAATTTTTCATAATTTTCAAAAAGAAAACTAAATTCCGAAAATATCAAAATTGAAAAAAAAAAACGATTTCTTACAAAAAATTAAGAATATTTTGAATTTATCAAAAAAAATCGGATGTTTTCAAAAATTTCCAATTCAAAAAATTTAAAAAAATCTATTTTTTGTTCAAAGAGTCTAAAAAAAACTTGGAACTTTTAAAAAATTTTAAAATTATCAAACAAATCAGATTTAAAAAAAATGAAATTCTTGTAATAAGGTGTTTTTACAATACGCTAGTCGCCCCGTAAGCACTTATAAAGTTACAGTATGTATTTATAATAAATGATCTATTTGAAAATATTTAATACAATTATTGATTATTTTCATTCCTCGAATTTTTAATTGCGGTACTAGTTTATTGTTTTTTTATTCAACAATTGGCTGCAAACTTAACATTTAAGATATGTATCAACGTCGAACAAAAAAAATCTAAATCTTATATGTGTGTGTGTGTGTGAAGTTCTATTTATAGAAGTAAATTGAAAAGTGGCAATAATGGTATCGGTCGAATTTCTATTAAATATCATGTGTAGCGTATCCGCTCCTCTACGATTGCTAAGGAAGTCAAACCCACGGGCGGCCGGTGGCACTTTGATCATGCGCGACCTGGGTTTCGAGTCACTTTACGCGATGTTCAACATTATTTACAGACAGAGCGCTGACTACCTTCGCGACAATCATTGACTAATTAGCATTATATTGCACAAAAATAATTATATATATATATAATTATATATATATATATATATATATATATATATATTTATATAGTGGTGCCCCGCTTCACGAGCTTAATTCGTTCTGTAAGCACGCTCGCACGTCGAATTGATTGTATCTCTAAGCATTTTTTCCATATAAATACACTCAAATGCTATTAATTCGTTCTAGCAGTGTTTTTATTAATAATAAAAATAAATGAAACAATTATTGCTAAGATCAAATTCATATTCTGCAAAAACATAGTAATTTTCTAAAAAAATGACTAAATTATC